AACGCAGGTAACAAAACACGTTCCAGACCATTGCTGAGTTGCAGTCTCTATGTTAGCTGGGGTGCAAGTCGAGGAGTGCTTTTGTTTTCCGTACTTTTGTTCATGCAATGAAAATGAAGATGGAATGACACCTAGTGGCAAACTGTAGTGTGTCCTTGTCCAAGTACAGCCCTCTTCTAGTTGCGTTCCCACTGTTTCAGGGTGAGATGCTCTTACAAAGAGGAATCTGGGTTTGGTGTGCTGAATGATGGTCTTGGACCACAACCTGCAGTCCTAGATGTTCAGCAACCTTCCCAGTGTGGCACCGTTTTCTCCTATACTGATGCCGAAGAACAGCATTTTAGCCCACACAGGGATGAGCATGAGTCCACATGTAGCCTCTGGAAAGGGTGCTGAATGCTGGGGAAAAGACATGTGCAGTAAACCCTGCCGTGTCTTAAGGAGATGCTCACCAGCACCCTGCCTTGGGGAGACATCTTAGGGGACACTAGGAGAAAACAAAGCCTAAAGATGCTGAGGTTGGACTTGGTAGGTTTGGGACTTTCTCCCATCATGAGACACAATGGAGCAGCTCAGGGTGTTGCTTCCCAGAGTATTCTGTTTCAGGGAAATGCAGTTTTATGGAGTAAAGGGAATTATGGTTGTTTGTCTTTTGGAACTTAGCAGTGCTGTGTAAAACAATCCCATCGTTTTGTCCTGGGAGTTTGGCTGCTCTCCTGGGGGAGACAATTATGGCTTTAAAGAATATGGCCTGTTGATTGCTTGATTTTTTTTTTTTTGAGGGTTATGGGAAATGAATGTGAAAAGGTCTTCCAGAAACAACTTTAGGTGGTCTACAGACTTGCATCCAGATTTTTCAGTATGTAATGTATTCTTCTATGCATTTTGCTAAAACAGCAATTACATGTCCCTCTTTGATTTACTTCTCACACTTCTCAAGCTTCTAAAGACCAACATGTCAACCCAGTGGTGGTAGAACCCTCCCTTCAGTCCAGAACAAGCCTGTGCTGTTTAACACTGAGACTGTAATAGCATCCAGATGCTCCTGCCAGTTTCTGGACCATGTTGTTCTTGGAAACATGCAACCATACGTGAGGGACAGCTTTATAGCCTTGTGATGAGAGTAAGTCCAGACAAAAGGGCTCTGACCTGCTGGCTTCGGTAGTGATGTGGAAACCAGCTGCAGTGTAGGGCCTGCGTTACGTATTTGTTTTGGAAATGATAAGCCCTCAAACTCTTAACTTCTTTGGAATTTGGATATTTTCTTCTTTTAGGTCAGATGTTTTCTGCTCTGGTAATGTACAGTCTTTCTTATACCTTGCTCCATTTCTCAATCCTGTTTTCTACCTGGGTGTTTGGCTGAAGTACTAATATAGTCAACTTTTATGTAATGCACAAACTGGAATAGGAATTGTGGTTAAATCAGCTACTGGGCAGCAACTCTGGATTTGGCTCTGCTGGAGCCACAGTGAGTCCTGGAGCAAGGTAAAAGCATCCGTATGGTGTCTTGCAGGTGGGAGAAGGCTCCCTTTGAGGACCCTGCAGTGCAGGCTCAGCTAGAGATGGTCTTGTACAGCATAGGACAGCTAGGGCATGGTTGTTACAGGCCTCTTATTAGACTGCATGGGTCCATATTCCTATTTTAAGTGATGATACTAAAGATTTGGAGGGTTTGAGGCAGGGTAGATTAAAATCTCAATTGTTTGACTTAATTTAGTTTTCTAAATGACCAAAGCAACACAGAGATAGGCGGGGAGGATCACACCCTCTGGAGGAGTTCCAACTGTTCTCTGGTGGCAGTGTATTCCAGATGAGCCCTTGGATTTGCAGGGAGGGTGGTTGCGTCCCGGCCTCTCACCAGCTCAGCTTCGTCCCAGAAAATATCACAAAGTGCCTGTACCACTCGGTGCTGGATACCCAGTCCCAAGTTACTTACACCACTCTTGGGAGGTTTTTGGTGCTTTTTTTGACCACTCAGTCTCCTCTTTCAGCCTGGATTAATAACGCAGCTCTTGGGTGCTCTGGAGGCAGGTGCCTGCATGTCAGCTGTGCCTTACTGTGCAGGAAATTTGCCAAAAAAAAAAAAAAAAAATGTGAAGCAGCAGGGATGCGCAGTAGCAACGGCATCATGGAGCTTGGTACCTTGCACCCTCGGTGTCCCTGTGGTGGAGGGAGCTCTGCCTGCCTGATGACAGTTTTTCCTTCTCCCGCTGTCCTCCCCTGCATGGTAATACTGTAGATCCCTTGTGTGTGATGGGCAAGCTACTTGCTGCTGTTGCAAATATCATTGCACTGTGTTTGCTGAATGTGGAAGAGATCTGTGGCCCCAATGAGGTGTGTTAGAAATGAGCGGCTCCTGCGTGGACGCCCAGATGCCGTGAATTTTCCTGTTGCCTTTCGCTACGGAAAGACGCCTCCTGGGAAGCTCTCAGGACCGGAGGTCTTCTGGCAGTTGCTGTTATTTTTGGTCGCCAAATTTCCGGTGCTTGGTTGGAGCAGTTTGGAAGTAACTCCGGTCGCGTCCCATTAGTCTCCTAACGGGGCTGTTTTGAGAAGCATCCAGTTCTGTGACTTGCCTTTTGAGTCCTGTCTTTACACTAAGGACTGTCCTGTAGGATGAGGTCTGAACCATTGTAATTAGTCTGTAATGTTACGATTAGAGTGTACAGAATTATTTATTTTGTGTATTCAGTCTGCTAAACATGTAAATGTATTCTGTGTACCCCATTGCTCTGCTGTCGTTACTTCTGGCTCTTGGATCACCCACGGGATGACCAGCTTTCCAGGCTGTGAAGGATGCATCAAAAGACAGGAGCTGCTCACCCCTCTAACATGTTCTTAGAGCACAGCAAGGAAGTACTGAAGTGCCCGTAAAAGAGTTTGCTGGTTTCTTTAACACAGCTGCCAGGCCAGGAGCTGCCTGAGGGAGACCTCTTGCAGGGCTGAGTCGGGCACTCAGCCTCTTGCTGGAAGGCAGGGTTTGGAGGCTGAACAGGCACTTTGGGACACTTTGTTCGCTTTTCTTTGGCTGTGAGGCGGCAAACAGGGCTAGAGAAATACCCTGGTTTGCCCACAGCAACTCGTCACCTCTTGGTTTCACTCTAAGCAGCTTTTATGGGTGTACAGGAAAATGTGTAATATCAAGTGAAAAATGCATACCCCTTTTGAATCACCTTCTCCTGGAAGGGAGGTGATTTTTCAGGGGCAAGGGACCCTGTCCCAGGAGTGGCAGGGATGACAGTGACCTGAACACACAGAGCAAGCGACCCATAGTGCTGCGGTTGATCAATTCCTGTTTGAAGCTCTGTGTGGCCACCAGTTTCTTCTGCCCATACGGCCCATCCCCACATCTCTGATGTTCAAGTATCTTTAAGGTCATTTAGGAGCTAACTAAAGCCAAAACCAGAGTGTTCTGCTTTCATGGGATGGGTCTTATTTCAGGTACCATGGAGTGAAAGCACGCTCTAAATGTCACGGCAGACCCGTGGGACCGGTGTGTCCCAAGTGCAGCTGCTACCGCCAGCCTTAGGGGAGGTTTGCAAGGAGCTCAGCCCCAGTGCCCTTCTTCCCTATGTCCCAGGTGAGGCTTTGCAAGGCAAAAGAGTCTGAGCCAGCAGCTTCACAGGTTTCTCTGCAAGCCCCAGTTCCCTGCTGTAAGTTTGCTCCAGTTGCTCTTGTTCTCTGCAGAGCAGACCACTAAATGAAGCTAAATTTTATCCAACCAAACTAAAACTTATCAGCCCTGGGCTGTATTCGAGCAGCTTTTTTTTTTTTTTTTTTTTTTTTTTAAAAATCAAGCATATAGGCCAGACTATTTGTCTTTACCTTCCACTCATTATCTATTACCCTTCCCATGGGTACGTCTCTGTGTAGCATTGAGCTTTCTCTGTGACTACTTGATAAAGAGTGATTACAACATTTTGGGGGCTATGATTCACACAGCAAAGGTTTTATATCACATTCACATCATGGGTAATGAAAAAAAACCCCACACCTCATGTTGGGACAGTCTGATCCTGCTTCTCTCCACGGTGTCCTTATGAGCAGCTCTATTTGGAGGTGCCAGGAGGCAGGTTTTAATTCATTGACCATGTGTGAACACAAGATTTTTTTTTTTTTTTTTTTTTTTTTTGCCCCTCCCATTGTCTCAAGAACCTGTTTGGGTGAAAACACTGCTTTCTTCTGAAAACCTGTTGCCTGGCCTTGAATTTTTTCACCTTCAGATTTTCCTTTGGTATGGCCTTGAGTTTCCCACTCTGTTACCTGGCAAATCTGCATGTGTGAAGCAGCGTGCTGTTCTCCAGCTGCCCCATTCCCCAAGAGCTGGAGCTGCCGTTGGCATTTCTTCCTTTCAGCTCTGTGTTCCCAGGCTGTTACACAAGTTAAAGCTTTAAATTGCAGGCAGTGATCTTTTAAGATCCTGTGCACCCACCTTCCCATCACAAGCCAAGAAGTGCTTGCTTGTGCCGAGCCTGGTGAGTCCCACAACCCCTTTCCTGGAGGAGCCAATGCTGGTGGGACCAGCTGGTGCTGGAGACCTCGCCCCTGGGTTGGTGGCAAGGCCATTAGAGGTAACATCACCCACCCTCAACGCTGTGGTGGTCCCTGGGCTGGTGCCAGGGTGTAGATCTATGTGCTTGAAGACCCCCTGAAGCAGTCCTTGAGCTGAAGCTCAGCTCTCCGCTCTGTCTGAGCATCATGTGCTGCCTTCTGTACCTCCCCAGCGGGTCCCAGCTGGGCACCGAGCTCCAGCTCTGGCAGGTGCTGGGATTCAGGAGAGGAGCACCCAACCACAGGGTGCACCAGGCTTCCCCCATGTGCCTTCCACCCTGGTCTGCATGGTGAGAGAAAAGGAGCCAGAGGCAGCGCTTGGCACAAGCAAATGCTGACACTTTATTATGAGGTGGGGTGCCTCACTTCCAGCTCAGCCCCTTGCCAGCTCTACCAAGCTCCCCATGCCGGCAGCAGCACCCAGCCAAGGGATCCCTCCAGCACTGGCTTTATCCCTGAGCAACAACATAGTCGATCCAGTTTCGGAACTGGCTTACGCGGGTGTAGATGGCCGGCACACGGACGTTGCAGTTGCTGTTTCCCCAGGAGACAATGCCGATCAAGGTCCAGACGTTCCCGTTCTGGTATACCAGAGGTCCACCAGAGTCACCCTGCGGAGAAGATGCCTCCTGCTTAGTGGTCCTGGCATGTGCTCCAAACTGGTCCCTGCCACGCCAGCCAGCTGATCCCCTGGACACGGCCAGGGCCTATAGCTTAAATCTCTGGCTCCATAGATGCAAGACCCCTATGTGTCCTCCTCCTTCTCCACCCTCCCTGTGGTGCAGTGGAGCTCGGCTCCTTACCTGGCAGGAGGAGGCACCGACCCCGCCGGCACAGAGCATGGAGCTGCTAATCCGGTTGCCCCAGTACTGCATGCACTGGTTCCGGGAGATCAAGGGCACGGTTACCTGCTGCAGGCGCACTGCCAAGGCTTGGGCTAGGGGAAAGAAGCATCATTACATCACCCTGGTGTTGGCCGGTCTCCTGGGACCTTTGGGAGTGCACAGGCACCCTGGGCAAGCTCCTGCTGGTGCTCCCAAATATGGGTGCTGCCATGCAAAGCACCTTCCCCCTCTGTGCCAAAGTACCCCTTCTTCCCTGGGGCGAGATTGTCTCGTGCAAGCAGCCCTGAGCAAGTGCAAGCTTGTGCCTGTGCACAGTTATCCCCGGGGTTTGCACCCATCCACCTCCTGAGCACACACTTGCATCCATGCTTGCACCAACACATGCGTGCGCACACTTGTACGTGCCCAGACGGGGTGACTCAACTGCCCAACCCTCCCCACGTGCACGTGAGGTGTCGCTCCCCGCCCCCCGGTGCACCCTGGGACCCTGCAGAGCCCCCAGGAAGGACAGCGGCTGCCCGCAGCCCTCCCTGAGGCTGTGGCGCACGTACAGTTGGTGTTGGTGCGTCCCCAGCCGGTGGTGACGCACTGGAGGTTGGTGGGCAGAGCCAGGTTGGCGGGGGGGAGGCACACGGGGGACACACGGCGTCCCAGCTGGGCGGGCGAGGAGAGCTTCAGCAGGGTGATGTCGTTGTTGAGCGTGTAGGGGTTCCAGCTGGGGTTCGTGATAGCCTGCCGAGAAATAGCGTAGCGTTTCATCCCTGCCCTCCTCGAGCAGCCGCGGTGCAGAGCTGCAGCCCCGTCGCAGGACCGTGGCCACGTCAGCCTGGCTTACCCTGACCACGGTCTTCACTTGAGTGGACTCTGTGTTGGAGTTGCGGTCATACTGCCCGAGGACGACAACATGGGAGTATGGGCTGCGAGAGGTAAGGGAGTCAGGGGGATGTGTGGCAGCCAGCACCCGGGGTGGGAGCAGCACTGGGGGCTGTTGTGGGCATGATGCAGTGTGTCCCCAAGGGAAGTCACCATGGGGACAGCCAGGGAGGGAGCCCCAGACTGCTCAGCTCCTCGGGTACTGGCCTTTGGGGCTGTCTCAAGTGCTGCTTGGCAATGCCCAGCGTGCCCCGACCCCCTGCTCTTGCTGGGTGGCGCCAGCGTGGGCTGGCGGGGCATTGCTCCTCACTTGAATTCGCAGTGGGCAGCCGTGACGACCCAGTTCTCGTTGATCAAGGAGCCGCCACAGAAGTGGGATCCGGAGCGGGTCTGAGGAAGAGGGAGGAAGAGCTGGGGCTGGGCAGGCTGAGCCCACACCGAAGCTGGGGATAGGCAGAGAGTGTCGTGGGTCCCCTTGGTGCCTGCCCGATTCCCAGCCCCAGTGCCCAGCTTGCCATGCCGTGCCACCGCAGTGCTTAGGGCACTGTCGCTGCCACTGGCCAGGGAGCGGGATTGTGCCATACCTGCAGGGACACCTGCCAGGGCCAAGAGCCGGGCACCGCGTTCTGCCCGTTGATGATCCTCTCACTGTAGTGCACTGAGGGGCTGATGGCAGGCACCCCGCAGCCTGTGGGAGAGGCAGAGGGGCACAAGGGTGACCCCAAAAGCTCAAGGCTTGCACCCAGGGGCTGCCGGTGCAGGTGGCTCTGTGTCACCGTCCCCAGGGTGCCCCGGTCCTGCTGCACTCTGAGGACCTCCCTGCACTCAGGGGCAGCGCTTACCTGAGACAGTGCTGGCAAGGGCCAGGCAGGCAACTGCACACAGAAATGCCATCCTGGGAGGACGTGGCTCTGCCCCCAGGGCTACGAGCTTTATAGCAGCCAGGAGCTGCATGGCTTGTAGCTAGGCAGGGCAAGGTCCCCCTGCTGCCTTCTGCCAGCTGCAGGCAGCGGTGACGGGCCAAACCTGGCACCTACCTTGCCCCACGCAAGCAGGTACATGGGAATGTGCTGCCAAAAAGGCACCCTGGGGTGCTTGGGCTATCGCTGTAATGAGTTGTGTCAGCTCTCGCTGCAGCCTGTGGAGCTGGAGGGTACCCCAGGGCTGTGATGGGGGCACAGGGGGCTGCTTGTGGGCACACAGCTGGGGTAGCAGTGGGGCTGGATGTGCTGGGATGGGTGCCAGTGCCTGGAGCGCGGGAGGTCACCCTGCCCCCAGGCCTGTTTCAGAGCTGTTGGCACCAGAGCTGTTTTCCCGTGTGGCCATGAAGTCCTGGCCTGGGACAACACCAGGGACGACACTGGTCCCAGCTGGACATTCCCAGGGCCCAGGGCCACCCCTTGAACCATGGCCCTGGTGCAGGTGAGCGTGTCCCAGAGCCAGCTGGAGCAGATGGGGAGGGCAGGCATCTTCCCAAGCAGTCAGGAGCTGTGGCCAGTGTGGTGAGCACACCACGAGCCCCAGGGAGGACAGTGGGCACCTCCGTGAGCTGAGGCTGAGCCCTCCACCTGAGCATCCCCCCACTCTACTGCAGCTGCCTGACCCCTCACCCCAGGGGTACATGCTGGGGAATAGTATGGTTCTCTCCATCCTGGACACACGGGGTACGTAGTGTGTCCATCATCCCCTATGTCCCTGGGTGATGCCGGGAGCCATTCCTGGGCTGGTGCTGAGCACGGGGATGGATCCCCCCCCCCCCTCTCTGTGCCACCCACATGCCCTGATCCCTGCCCTGACCCACTGGGGAACAGAGCCTGGACGCTGGTGAGTGATTGCAGAGCTCAGGCCTTTATTTCTGGCAGTAGTGCCAGGCAAGGACAGCAGGATCCAGCCAGCCACAAGGCAGGAAGCGTGGCAGAGCATGGAGGTTTCCCAGGGTGCTGCAGGGGCACCTGGGGAGGAGACAACCAAGGGCTGGACAGCAGCAAAGGATGGATGGAGGAAAAGCCAGCGCCCAGGGTGGTGCTGCCCATCATGGAGGAACCTTGGGACAGGAGGATGCTTGATACACCATGCTCTCCAAGATGCTGGAAAGTCTTGGACTCTAATCCTGTCTCGGATGCTGGCAAAAGAGCCGGGGCCAGGAGTTGGGCAGGTCAGCAGGAACTCAGAGCTGTCCCTTCATGCCAGCAGGGACAGGGTTGACGGCAGTACCCAAGGTGGTAAGACCCCCTTGTGCCCTTCTCCTCTGCGGCCGTGAGCCATGATGAGCTGGCTGAGCTGCTCTCCACCATCCATGCGGGGCCCAGGCTGGTGGAGTAGCACCAGACTTCTGGGCTGAGCCAAAACAGAGGAAGACCTCCCGTGGCTAAAACCCTCCTGCAAGTGTGGGTCTAGCAAGGCTCCAGTCTGCCTTGGAACTGGGTTGGTAACAGACTCCATGACCAGGACACGCTGGCTCAGAGGGCTGTCTGGAGAATTGGGAAAACCCAAATATCTTGGCAGTCCCATGGAGACGTGGACTCAGCCCAGCTGCAGACTCCTGTCCTTTGCTCTGCGGCTCCTCTTTCTCCTGCAGGCAATAGGCCAGACCTGAGCAGCCCTCAATTACTGCCTCAGCAGGCCAGCAAAATAGCTATGGGTTGATTTTCTCCTGACCCAGGTCTCCCAGGACTGATGCTTGCAGGGGACAGTTGGCTCAGCGAGGCAAGACCAGAGAAGGATGGCATGTATCCAGACTGTCCCCAACACAGGGCAAGGTGCTGTGCATAGGGGATGCCATGTGTCATCTCCATTCTCCCCACGCGCAGCCTCAGAGATGTCCTGCCTGGTCCGTACGTCCGTGGGGGCAGTGGGGAGCAGGCTGTGGGGTGCAGTCTCAGGCACACTTGCCCTTGCGAAGGCAGAAGGGCAGCTCTGGCGCAGGGACCAGGATGGTGCTGAAGATGGGCCGGTAGCGCTCGGGCAGGACCTGGGGGTGCTGCGCCATCATTTCCAGCACCATGTGCCGCACCTCCTTGGAGACGTCACCCCGGAGATCCAGCAAGGTGGAGATGTGCTCATCACTGGGCAGAGAGCAAGAGGTGAGTCCGGGCGCTGCAGGCCCATGGCACCATCCACAGTGCTCGTGTCCCACAAACCTCCCATGATCCGGAGAAGCTGAGCTGAGGCCAGGGGAGAGCTGGTACTTTGCACCAGCTAAACTTTAAAATTTGCTTGAAAAGGACCCCACAAACCCTGTGAATTTGATTTTGACATTTCATGGGTTTTGGCCGATTCTGACATTTCCAATTTGGTGTTTTGTGATTTCTCACAGTTGGTTTGGCCACCAAATACAGATGGGTGAATGCCACAGCAGGACTGCATTTTCCTTTACATCTTTGCCCTTGGGAATTTTCAAGAACCCCTCAAATCTGGGGCATGGGAAAGGAAACCTCAGGTAGGAGGGGGAAAAAGCCCAGGTTTCTGCCTGCTCTGCAGCATAACCTCATGGAGTCCAGCCCAAGCCTGGCTTCCCTGGGCGGACTCACGCCTACCCCATCTCGTGGGAGAGCCGAGCTGGGCTTCTTACCTGACGTCAGGGTACTTGGTGATGAAGCCCAGCACCTCCAGGCTGAGTAGTGCTGGGTCTTTGAGACAGATCAGCTCCCGCAGGGCAAACACGGCCTCCAGGCTCTGCTGGCTCTGGTCCAGACCCTGCCAGGGAGAGCAGCCACGTGAGAGACCAGGAGGAGGCCACTGCGGTGGCTAGTGAGCTGCAGTCTGGTCCTCAGTGCCCATGTGGGGACCTGGCCACTTGCAGCTGGTATGTCCCCACTCAGTGTGTCCTGCTGATGGGGCTGGCTTACCCCAAGGCAAGATGAGGCTGTGCAGCCTCACTGACCTCTGCTGGGCAGGGCGGGTGATCCCCCGAGTCCCTAATCCAGCCAGTTCCTCCCATCTTGGCCTCACAACTGCGCAATTGTAACAGCCCCATCTTGTTCATGGGCTGATGTACCCACCCCATCTGCTGGAGGCTGGAGGGGAGCAGGAGGGTGACCGAGGTGAGCTATAAGCTCCTTGCACTGACCTTGCTGTGTGATGTTCCCCTCCCATGGCCCATCCACACCCAGGCATCTCTCACCAGGCCACAGAAGAGCTCACGGAGCTGTGTGGCATCCTGCAGCAGACGGTCACAGAGCTGGCCCCGCTCCTCCTCGCTCTTGCACACCATCTTCTTCTGCATGAGTGCCCGCAGGTACTGGCTCGTCACCAGGAGCTCGCTCTCTGTCAGCAGAAGCTGGGCAGGGGAGAGCTGTTAGTGCTGGGCATCACCTGGGTGTCGGACCCCAATTGCCCAGAGAAAGGCAGAGGGGAAAGGGGCTGGATGCAACACCAAGCTGTGGGGACAACCTGCTGGGAAGCTCCCTGGCTGGAGGGACAGAGAAGGGAGCTGAATTTGGGGGAAACCCTGAACACCTCTGTGGTGGTGCCCTCTGGGCTGTTCTGGAGGATATGGGTTCTCTGGCAAACCCAGCAGCGACTGCAACCCCTACATCCTGCACCCCAGCATGGCACCCAACTGCCCAACCTCCTTGCCCTACAGACAAGCAGCCATTTGAAAGACGCCCTGCAGCAACCGTACCATGAACACGGGTTTCCTGACGCGGGAGAAGTCCTTTGCATACTTGTCAATCACTTCGCACATGCTGCTGACGAGCTGGGACCCCGACAGCCACTTGCGGGAAGGCAGCTGCAGGCAGAGGGGCTGAAAGAAGCAGAGGAGCAGCATATGGCACCCTGCATCGCACTGCTCTTGCAGCAGCTGCCAGCTGCAGGACGGCACAACATCCCACAGCTGCTGCTCGCCTGCTGCCTGGCAAGCATGTCCTATTTGCCTTGCAAAACCCCCAAGCCCCCAGTGCCAGCCAAAAGTCAACATAAAAATAGAAGAGTGGCCTAAATTAGGAAATTATGGAAATATACTCGGGCTGCCCCTCCCTGACACCTAGAGATCCACATTTTTGGGCTTTATCTGGGTCATGATGCCCCATCGTGGGCAGCACCTGAGGTCTGGGCAGCAAGCTGCTCCTCACACACTCGCTTTTGGCCTGTCCTGCTGTGATTTTATTTTTAATTTCCACTCCTTCCCACTTCCCTTGTGCAGACATAACACATTTTTTTGCCGAGGGCTTTGATCTCCTACTCCTGCCCTGCTGTCCTTGCCTGTCTTCCTGCCTGCAGGCAGTCATTCCCTCTATGTCTCTGCTGGGGCCACAGCAATCTCCACACTGCCTGAGAGCATTTCATCCTTTAGCTGCTCCTTTGTTTTCATGGCATTCAAGCCCTAAATAGCAATGCCATTAATTATTCCAGATTTTTGGTCCAGACTCCAGGAAAGCTAAATTTGACTACACTGGCAGGAAATGACTTGGGCAGCTGCACATGGGCTTGTATCGTCCGCACGGACATTGCCTCTCTCCTGTTGGTTTTCTGCCATGAAACAGCCATAAAAAGGAGTGTGAGGCAGCCTGGGGGGGCTGTGGCTCCTGGTCTCTGTCAGTTAGTGGTTTGGGGGCCACAAGCCATCTGCCCCTGTGATACAGAGTGGTGCTGGCTGGCGACAGACATCGGCTAAGCTGCGGGCGGTTTATCAAGGCCTGGGAGCCAGGCTGGCAGAGATGTCTGCAGGATGATAGCAGGCCACGGGGTATGTGGCGGGGATCCTGAGCAGGAATAAACCCCTGCCTGGGGGTGTAGCAGTAGGGCTGTTCTTGCTGGGGCCAGGTTTCTTGCAGCCCTGCCACCCTCAGGGGCTGTGGACAAACATACCTGCAGGTCCAGGAGCAGCTCCTCCAGCAGCAGCTGGCAGGCTTTCTTCTGCATCCTATCTAGAGCAGCCCGGAGGGACATGGGGACTTCTCTGTGGGCACTGTCGGGGTGCAGGAAGGAGACAGAGGAGCTAGGAGAGAGAGAAGAAGGGAGGGGACAGGTAGCCTGGGAAGCATGGTGGAGACACTGGTCCCGCAGGAGGATAGGGAGGATGTGGCATCCTTGTGGGTGGTGGGGTAGCTACAAGGTGCTGGTGCACGTTACCTAAGAGCCAGGTTGTTGTTGAGCATGGCCAGTAGGTAGGAGACATAGTACTTGGGTATGGTACGGTCCTTCTGGTGCTCCTTCCCACATTGCACTAGGGCTTCCCGCAGACTGCAACACAGTGAGTCAATCATGATGTGTGGGCAGAGCCCCAGACATCTCGCCACAGGACCTGGAGCTGGGATGCTCCTGGGGGCACATGGACGTCCGACAACCCTCCCAGCTCACTTGGCTCTTTCCAGGTCCTGCCACCAGGTTGGAGAGTGACAGGTTGTTGGGCAGGGGGGGACAGTGGGACCCACTGCAGACCCCTCGGGAGAGCAGGGCTCGGTGCGACTGGAGAGGCACTTGGGGCAGCAAGCCCTGGGAGCTGATGGCCCCAAGGGCTGAGACAGTAGCCGCATAGATAGACAGGGTGCTGAGCCTTCTGGGACCTGGATGAGCACAGGCTTCCCTATGGCAGATCTCCACCATCAGCCTACGGTTCTTGGCCATGGGACCCAGGGTCTGTGAGGATGGGCAGGGGGGCGAGGGGCTCCACTGACCGGCCCAGAAATGCCTCAAGCTCCTCCAAGGCCATGTTGTAGACCTTCTGCTGCAGAGAGTCTGTGATCAAGGAGGCTACCTGGATATTCTCATTCAGCATCTGCAAAGGGAGAGAAAAGTGGAGGTGAGTCAGTGGGAGGCTGCAGGCCACGGCCCCCCTTTTTGGGGCCTCTCAGCATGGCCATGCCCCATGGTGCTGGGGACCCACCTGCATGACAATGACAGGCAGGGCTGACTGGAAGAAGCCCTGATGGTCTGTCTCAGGTTCCTCTTCCCTGAACCACTCCTTGAACTCCACCTCCAGGGTCCTCTGCATCCACTCAAGCACGCTAGCCTGTGGGATGGACGCCCACCACAGTCAGCCCAAGAAGTCAGGAACCGACTCCCCTGAGGCCCAACATGTAGCACAGCAGTGAGTCCTGGGCCTTGTCTCACCGGCTGATGGCCTCCTGCTGCTGTCAGAGCAGATGCCGGCACAGTGGTGGTGGTTGGGTCCCCATGCCCATTGCACATGTGCTGTCCCGCTCGCTCACCTTGACTTTCACCACGTATTTCCTCTCTGTCTGATCCACGAGCTCAGGGGACATCAAGGGACCCAGAGCAGAAACATCCACTTCTGGGAGAAGGTCAGGGTGACCCATCATCTCTGGGCTGGAAGGCAGAGGTGGGACAGGGCTGGGAAGACCTGTGTTTTCCAGTTACTACCTCTCCCTCTGCCCTCCTGATGGGTCATCCCCAGGCACCTGGAGCCACTCTCCCAACCCACCCATGTGCTGGTGGACAACCCAGCTCTCCACAACCTCCCCTGCTTGGTTGGTGCTGACCTGTGGTACACACGAAGCGCCCACTCAAGGAGGAGGAAGAGTGCCTGTTTGTCCAGGTCCTCTCGGAGGATGTCTTGGAGGTGGCTGATGAGGGCCTGGTGGTAGGTGACAGTGCAGACACTGAGGATGTTGTAGTGAGCCGGGACGCACTGGACCATCAGGTCCTTCACCACACGCAGCTCAGCCACGATGTCCTTCTGCAGTGCTGCCAGGTGCCTGGCCAGCCCTGGCCCCTCAGTGTCCATGTGGGCTGCATGAAAGTGGGCTCCTGTGATGGTCTCCTGGAGAATGTGGTAAAACTTCTGCCTCCAGCCCTTTGGGCGGCCAGGGGGCAGGAAGGTGGCCTCCAGGAGCAGAGTATCATCTATTTTCTCCTCCCGCTCGATGATCCTTACAGCGGTGACAAAGAGAACTGGGTCCTCACGCACCAGCCGCAGGCTGCTGCCCACGATGTCCCACAGCTGCTTGGCCAGGCTCTCGTTGAGCTCCTGTAGGCCACCGAAGTAGGACAGCACAGTTGCCTGGGCACTGGAAAGCCCGCGGAGGTGCAGCTGGGAGAGGATGTCGTCCCGGAGATGCTCCATCATCATGAGCTCTGCATGGGCCTCCAAGAGTTGCTGCCCACTGAGCAGCTGCAGGGTATGGGAAAAAACCTCGTGGACTGTGGGGGAGGGAGGAGAGATGCCAGGATTGAGTGCAGGGAGTGAAGGGGGTTGGCACCAGTGTCATGGGTGCAGGTTAGCAGGGAGACGGTGAGGGAAAGGGTCTGAGATCTGGGGCTCTGGGAGTACTGTGCTGGATCAGGCCCCGGGGAGGCAGTGGCATCTCCATCCACGGAGACTTTCCAAACCCAACCGGCAAAGCCAGGGCAATCTGCTCTAGCTTTGCTGCCAGCCCTGCGTGGAGCCTAGGGTTGGACTGAAGTTCTCCCCAGTGCCTTCCAGCCAAAATCCACAAGGACCGGGCCAATGCCTTACCTGAGAAGAGCTGGGGCAGCACCTGGACCACCGAGGCCAGCTGCACGTGCTCTGCCATCAGTGCCCGCATCTGCTGGAGGCCCTGGAAGCGGTCTGCACTGTCGAGCAGGGCCCACCGCGCAGCCCCCAGGTCCTGGCACACGCTCTGCACCTCCTGGGCCGCCGACCGCAGCTGCTCCAGCCCCGCACTTACCCCCTCCAGGTAGGATTGGATGGTTGACTGGGGAGCAGAAGAGGATGGAGAGGCAGTGGAGAAGCTCTCAAAGGCTGGAAGACTCATGCACCATTTGTCCCAGCCTTGCCAGGTCTCCCTTGCATGCACTCTCCCAGCCCCACAAGGTCACAACTGCCATGATGCCATCATATCTCCCAGCCCTTCCATGATGACCCCATCCCATCAGACCCAAGCACACCCAGCTTCAGGTAACCTGCTCCAGCAGCAAGAATGGCTCATTTCACCCCTCTCTGGGTAAACTCAGTCACAGTGACTGTTTACGGGATGGGGGGCAATGGCTGCTGTGCATGAGGTGGGAGAAGGGCATTGCTTTGGGGTGACCAGGACAGCAGGGTGAGCAGTAACCAGATGTCTCCTTTCGGTTTTAAAAGATTACTTTGCTTCTGCAAAATAGTAACATGCCACAGGGTCCCTGTGTGCCCCCCAAGGCGTATTAATGGCATGAAGCACCTCAGTGGCCCTATGAACCCTCCTCCCCAATGGACTTCCATCTTTTCCAGCCCTGCAGCGGCTCTGGTGCATCTCCATGCCCTGTCCATCCACTTAACTCCCGGCTTCTGGTGCCAAGAAGCACTTTTACCCAGCGTCACCAGAAGCAAGTTGTTTTCTCTGAGGCTGCATCACTTAAAACAAGTTGCCTCCTGGACAATTCACCCACATTCAGGCTAGGAGAAACTATCTCCAAAATAATCAGGAGAAGGTTGGTGTGCTCAGACTGACTGGGTCCTGAGGTTAATTGTTCCTCAGGTTATGCAAAAAGGGTCACCCTGAGCAGGGAGGTGTGCACAGGGGCTGGGGACAGCCCTTACTGATGGATGTAGAGATGGAGTTTCTTCTGTGGGGATCTGCATGCGGGGGCAGGTTGGAGCTCTTGGCCTCCTCCCAGGAGGGGAGAATTTGGTGCTGGGATGGGATAATGATGGGGAGCGCTGGCTCCTGCACATGGGATGTGCCAAACAGCCTTGGTGTTTTGTTTTGAAGGATGGTTGGAGACATGGGAGACTCATTTTAACACTTCAGAAAATACCCAGGGGGAGGGCAGGGCGCGGTGGTGGAGTTTACCAGATCTTTTCCCCCAAACAATTGCATTTCTCCCACCAAGCACCAGCCAAAGGACAAGATTTTGCCAGAAGTGGACACAAAGATGATTCAACGCAGAAGAGGGGACCCTAGCTGGGATCCCTGCTGGGGGAGGCAGTGAGGCTGCAGGCATCCATGGGGTGGGCTGTGGCAAACACCCACCTTCAGCCGGGACTGGATGGAGCTGTTCCTCTGCGTCTCTCGGCTCCGGTACTGCCCGAGCCCCTCCAGTTTCTCGGGGCGGTAAAACACCCCTGAAGCCCATTTCAGAGCAGCTCCTCTTGCCAACTTCTCAGCCTTCTCTGCTTCTGGCCACTCCTCATCTGGGGATGAAGCCAGGGGTTAATGAGCGCAATGAAGCCTCTCCTGGCAGGGCAGGAAGGGCCCCTGAGGCCAGAGGCAGGAAGCTGGCTGCCAGCGGACTTCCAAGCACACCCAGATCTGGGAAAGCCAGACAGCACGGTAGCAAGCGGGTCCTTCTGCTAGGGTCCCCTCCCCCCCCCAAGATGCCACCGCAGCAGACTGGGGCTGTCACAGTGGCTGTGGCAGCGAGAAGGCTGCCCTGAGGAGCTGTCACCCAGCCTGCCAGCTTGGGCTGTACCCTAGGCTGAGCGCATGTCCCCATCGCTCCCCCCAAACAGAATTCTGGGTTGTCTGAGGGGGGTCTGATGGCACCTGGGAAGCCCTCAGCAGAGCTGAGGCTTCGGCAGTGAGTCAGCAGGAGGGATAGAGAGATGTCAGCTCTAGCATGGAGGAGAGTCAGCCCGAGGTGAGAACGAGGGGCTCCTGGTCTCCCAAAGGCATGCACGCAGCTGTGGGGGGCCACGGCATCCCCCTCCACACAGGGTCCGAAGCCATGCCGAAGGCCTTCTGGCCAGAGCGGAGGGCTGAGAACCAGCTCAGTCATCACATGCCAGTCCCCATCCCCAGTGCCTGGTTTCATTGTTTCCCCCTGCTCCATCCCCAGCAACTTCACAGCTTGTGGCTCTCCACAGCCCCACTAGGATGTCACCCAGTGCCAAGCCGGACTCCTGCTCTGCTGGGGAGCCTGCCCGTATGGGCACCCTCGGGGACCGGGGGCTTTGGAGGCAGTCAGCAGCTTTGAGGACGAGCTGTGCAGTGAGCAGCACTGCTATCACCGTCAGTAAGCAGAGTCAGCTTCCAACCCCACCCGAGAGCACAAGGCACTGGCCGCGGCACGGAGAAAAGGTCCAGGGGGTGGTTAGGCAGAGGGCAGGGGAACCCCCAAAATGTGCTGCATGCAGTAGCATCCCTCCCCTGCCCAGCACCGCCAGCTCCCCAGGGGGATGGCCGCATCGTCCTTGTTACCTCTGAGGCTCATGGTGCGCTTGTCCTCTGCAGACATGCCCATGGTCTCCAGGCTGCTGGAGTTGCAGGGGCCAGGGCAGGGCTGCGCGGAGGAAGCCGGCAGCCGTTTCCTCAGCCGGAGCAGCTGCGTTCCTCAGGGCCTCATTGTGCTCCCACAGCCACGCTCAGGACGTCAGGAACAGGGGGTGGAGGGGAGGGGGGACACAGGGGAAGACACCATGGCTGTCGCAGGCCTCGGGAGTAGAAATCATGCCCTTCGTGCCCTCGCTGGCACCCCCAGACCTGCCCTGGGCACACAGCCTCTCTTCGTGACGCCCCCCAGTGCTTCCCTGCTCGAAGCCAGCCTGGCCCAGGGAGGACAGCAGGGTGCCCGGGGTGCCCCTGACCCAACACCGGCCCAGGCCGGCGCTTTCACCACACCGTCCGCACCCAGAGCGGGAGCAGCCAGGCGAGGGTCTGCCTGCGACAGGCCAACACGAAGGGGAAGCGGGGACAGACCTGGAGACGTGTGTGTGTCCCCCAACCCGCCTTCCCCGGGGCACAGGTCGGGGGATTTGCCCCCGCGCTGGATGTTTTAAAGCAGACAAGTGTGACGGGCAGCAGCGAACTGCTCTGCTCCGCCCAGGCGGTGCGAGGGCTCAGCGATGCAATGCTCAGATCTCGTATGTCAGTTTGGCTTCGGTACCACAGTGACGGTGAGGGGATGGACGCGCACCCCGGTTTTACCCTGGGGCTCCCCCCGCGGTGGGACGGGGCCTGAGGCCGTGCCCGCAGCGGGAGGCCCCCCGGGAGGCGCCGGTCGCCGTCCCCTCACGGAAGGCGGTGGGTCCCGCCGTGGGGGTGTGTGTGTGAGGGGGAGACCCGACCCCGACCCCGATCCCGATCCCTGCGGGTCCCCTCAGGGAGCGGCCGTCGAGCCGCCCCCACCCAGCCCCCGGCCCCGGAAGTTCCCATCGTGCCCCGCGGCCCCGGAAGCGGAAGCGCGGAGGGGCCGGAGCCGGCGGCGGGCAGATGGCGGAGTGCGGGCCCCAGCCCCCCGGGGGTGGGAGCGGGGCTGCGGGGGCGCCGAGCCGGCATGAGAAGAGCCTGGGGCTGCTGACCACCAAGTTCGTGTCGCTGCTGCAGGAGGCCAAGGACGGCGTGCTCGACCTTAAGCTGGTGAGGGCCCCACCGCCCCCGGGGGGGGGGGGCTCTGCGGGAGCTCCCGCCTCGGGCCGGGGTCCTGCTGCTGGGGGAGCCGAGCTCCTGCGGGCCAGGTTCTCCGGGGGCCGAGGCAGGTTTTGGGGGGGGGAGTCGGGACACGGCAGCGCCCGATGCAGCAGGTGCAGGGAAAGGGGGGGTCCCCCGGGGGAACGGCAGAGCTGCCAGCCGCGCTGAGGGCATGCAGAAGGGGCTCTGCACCTGCCGCCCTAATATTCCCTCCCGCCGCTTCCTTCCGAGCAGTTCTCCCCACCCAGCTCCTCCGCTTTCCCCAGGAAAGAGGAGGCAGCGGACCCTGCCTGACGTTGCAGGCAGTTGTGTGATTCAGTTGGAGCCCCGCTCAGCCGTCATCTTCTCTTCTGCATTCTTGTCCCGCAGCAAGGTGCTATTTGATCACCAGCACCAAAATGATCTAGCCCTGTAGAGCCTCTGAGACATATAGAAACAGAGACCTATAGAAACTGTTCCTCCCCACTGCGGTTTGCCCCGCCCTGGCATAGAGCAGGAAGGGGAGTGTGGTCAGATTCATCTCTGCCAAAGGTTGTCCCTGATGCCTTTAGGCTGTGGAGAAGTGGCCCATTAATGTACCTTGCTTTTGTATTTTGAAGATCTTCACCTAGAGGAAGTAACTCTGTCTTTGTGGCACGTAGGGTACTTAAACCTTGGCCTTTTCTATAGGTGAAGTTCCTTGCTGTGGTTTATACAAATACCTCTTAGGTGGATATGCGTGCGAGCATGCTCTGACCCTTCACAAGCAGCAGACGAGTGTCAGAAAGCTCTGAAGATGCATGGTTTGGAGGAGTCTATTGGCTGTAGGCTTCTTTCCTCTCCCGTGCCAAATTGTTGTATCTTTGGATTTGGGCAATATTTTCTTGCTTAAAATGGCTGTTAAGTGCATTCGTATTTGTTAGCGTGGTTTGATCAGTTGTGCCATGTAGGGTCTCTGAAGTCCCGGTCTGTTACTGGTAGGTGAGAGGGAACTGTCACTGTTGGTCCTGGCTGTGCCAGTACAGCACATGTTAACTCTTGCCGGTGCTTAGTTGCCATGCGGTAGCAGAAACAGGCATATCAGTGCAGTCCAGTGTGTCCCGAAAACCGAGGGGAGGAGAGTTGTGTGAGCAAGGCAGGGAAGTCCCAGGGCTGCTCAGGAGCTCCTGCCTTACAGCCGTGCTTACTCTCCTCCCAGCACTGCATCTTTCGAACAGAGGAATCTGCCTCTTGAGAAGGTGTTGATTCTCTATCAAGCAGTATCAGATCAGATTTAGAAAAGACCTTTTGAATGTTGACTTCACTGAACTGTTGTCAGTCATGCAGACAATTCTCTGTGTTCCTCTTCCCATGCCCATCTCTTTTACCCTCAAGAAGCACTGAATTTTTAGGCTGCCAGACTAGTGTCTTCTAGTACTGCTGAGGAATGGTGATTTTTGGATCCACCGCGAGCAAGGTGGCTGGAATTTGATTTGTGCTTAGTGGGGAGGTGGCTGAGTAAGAAAGGGAATGAAGGGGCAGTGGCTTCTCATGGTTGTAATGACATTGAGAATGTGGCTTTGTAATTTGAGGCGCTGGGACATGAGAGGTATGAGATGGTGAGCAGACTGCTTGGCCAGGAATTAATCTGATAGGCAGGAAGGATTGAAACATGACTGAGAGGTTGGAGTTCAGTGTCTAACCTTTTTGCAGGCTGCAGATACCTTGGCTGTGCGACAGAAGCGACGGATCTACGATATCACAAATGTCCTGGAAGGCATCGGGTTGATCGAGAAGAAATCCAAGAACAGCATCCAATGGAAGTGAGTGACAGAGAAAGTCTAAATTGTTCACAGGTCCCTTCTAGTCCTGGGGTCCTGTTGTACAGGTGCCTTGCTCCTCTTCAGGCAAGCAGAGCTTCATGAGGCTGTTATCTAAGTGACACTGGGGTTAAAATGCCTTGCTTGGAGCAAGGTTCCTCAGTGGTCTGTGCACGCTTGTAATTCCCCCAGCTGGGCTATGCTGATGGTAGTAATGAGGAAAGCTGAAGTACATACCATGTGTCTCTTACAGCAGAGCTCTTGTTTTGGTACAAACTAAGTATTTGCAGCACCTTGGGCTAGAAAAGATGCCTGTCATGGCACTGGAGATGGGGGAAAGCCCTGCCAGTCTGCAGGATGTAGGAAGATGTACCAGACCTTGCTGTGCTGGAAGGAAGGTGGAGATCTAGAGTGGGTATAGATGAGGGTTTCTGAGCGATCCAGCCTTGACGTATGATAGGGGTGGCAATAAGGAAGGTGGCAACCACTCTGAGAGGATGGGGCTGGTCTGAGTGCCTCCAGAGGCTGATGCATGTCACTCCTTTTTACTTTGCCCAGAGGGGTGGGTCCTGGCTGCAACACGCGTGAAATAGCTCACAAACTTATCGAGCTGAAGGCAGACATAGAGGACCTGGAGCAGCGGGAACAGGAACTGGAGCAGCAGAAGATGTGGGTTCAGCAGAGCATCAAAAACGTTACAGAAGATGTGCAGAACAGTCGATATCCTTTGTGTGAACTGATTACTCTGTCTCCATGTTCGCTTGCTAGGCTGGAAGGCAGGGACCTGAGGGCTGGGTTGATGCTGCCCTGCCGAGGGCAGAGGGGTGGTGGTGACCTGTTGCTGCTGGAGAATCTGCACTGAAAGGCTCCAGAGGCAGTGCCTGGCTTTGAAATTAGGGTAACTCTGTCCAGCCTGGGAACCAGCTTTCTTTGTGGTGTGTGGTTTCTTGTCTGGCTTTTTGAAGTACAAAACGCTGTAACGTTTACCATGATGAGAAAAGTGCTTCTCTCCAAGTCACAGGTGCCACTTTCTTGAGTGCAGAGCTGCTCTTGTGGCTTGCCTGTCTTAGGGTGTCAGCTCTGACGAGTATGTAGCTTGCAGACCTTGCCTGCAGACCACTTCAGAGTGTGGCATGGAGAGCCTTCTGGGAATGGCATTTCTTGTGCTCAGGAAGGAAATGCCAGGTGCCCTTTGAGTTCTCTGTCTGCGCAGGAAGCTGCAGCCTTTCTCCTTAACCTTGGAAACATTAGCGTATGTGACACATGAAGATATCTGCAAGTGCTTCACAGGTGAGCAAATGGTGCTGCATCGTAAAGATGTAACATTGCAGTCCTATCAGTCTGTCCCAGCTGCTCTCCTTTCTTCAGGAAAGAGGAAGCAGCAGACCACGGGCTGCCCAACAGCATTAAGTTAAACGGAGTGCGAGCTCTGACGCCATCCTGGGTTTGTGTACCACTGAGTTGTATCTTTCTTGTCACCCTCAGAGGGGGCAGGCGGTTTCTTTTACTTGTGTTTAAAGGAACATTGCTGCTATTCCTAAAGAAGTCTTTTTGCTGGGTGTCACTATGTGGGTATATGTGTGTTATGTTAGAAGCCTTTGATGTTAAGGGCTTGGGTGGACAATGTTCTAATAATAGGAAGCAAATTTTACTGCATGGTAGGAATCTGGGTGTAAGCAAGGAAATAGTATAAAAAGTGGTCCCTCAGTTGCGTCATGCCCTCTACCAACAAGAATGCAAGAGGAAGGTAGTGAAGAGCAGGACCGCTTGCTGTGACCTCACTCCCTTGTGTACTGCCTTCCTAAAGCTGTGAGGTGTCTCTATGAAAAGCCATATGTCCTGTCTCTGTGGGGCAAAAGTGAAGAAAACCCACAGGACTCTCTGTTTCTTCTCTATTGCCAATTTTGATGGTAGCTGTAGAACCCCTCCAAAAAAAATCCCCGGTGGCCAGCGTGCAATAAGGCAGCCTGCAGTACATAAACTGTTCTCAGCTGTAGTGGTGTGGAGTCGCAGCTCCTTTCTGCTTCGGTGGACACCTGACCTCTCCTGACCCCGGGCAACCTGCATCTGCTTGCTTGCAGCAGAGATTGAAGCTATTTACCCTAACCTCCCCCAGCCATGCATAATCTCACCCTTGTCTGACTCTCTCCTTGTCTCTTCCAAGCACCCTTCTCACCCTACACTTCATCAGCTCTTCTATTTTTCATTTTTGCCTTTGTGTGCTGTCCTTGTTCACCAGACTTTATACTGCTCAAGTTCCTGCTGGTAACTTATGCCTCATCACCCCCTTCGCTTTACTGTTTCTTCTTATTTAAGCTAGCCCTTTTTGGGGGCAGGGGTTGTGTTTTCAGTTTGACAGTGCCTGGGGCCAGATAACTTGTAATAGTCTGGAAGAGTTTACTGGAGACCAGCAGACAGCTTATTGCTTGGTTGATTGAGTGTTTTGCATTTTATTGCACCTGGTTTTTGTAAACCAGTTTGCGTCTGAAGTCAGACCTCACCAAAATGTGCAGAGATTAGATCTTACTTAGGGCAGATCTGAATTCCTTCTAGAACAGAGGCTTGATCCATGTTTTTCCATTGTCTGTTCAGTTTGCCTGTATGAATATGCCTTACATCACTTTTTTTTTTCCTCTCCTAAGCATCTGAGCCTTGCAGAGGTTCTTTTTTGGACCTCTTGTGTTCTTGAACTGTGGTGCAGGCTGAATTTCAGCTCCTGGATTTTCTGATTGACTGCTATTGAACTTGCTTTCTCAAAGTGAGTTAGGGCTTGAAGATTTCCATGCTTGGACTCTTGTCAAATATGGATTAATTATTTGGATTAATTAAAAAAAATAAAAATGTTAGTTTTTAGTGACTGGGAAACATAATTTTCCTGTCTGTTGCTGTGATGCATTTTCCACTTGCAGAATGAAAAAGGAAGTGGAAACACACTGTACGCTGTTTTGTAGAAGTATTTGGGATATAGCTATCAAGGGAGATAGAAATGCAACACCTGTATTTGAAACTAACAGGTCTTAAAGCTCGAGCTTGTGTCTTTAAGCTTTATTGTGCTTTTTTGTCTCTTAACAATATTTTTCTTAAATGCAGATTTGTTAAAGGAATCTCATCTTATTGACAAATCCTGTGGTATTTTTAATCCTTGTACCTTTTGCTGATCTGACCTTTGATTGCTTGCCTGAAATTAAAGGATGTGCTCTTCTGCTGTCCACTCCCTCTCATGGCTCTGGGGATCTTCTGTGTTAATTATCAAGTGAAGCTTAATGCAAAATACCGGTGAAGTGTGAATACTAACCACACTAAAGCTTAAACATTCAAAGTGAAAGCTGCTAGCTGCTCGGTCTGAATAAGTCTTAATGTTCACAGCGCTGGTATTTCTCTGTTCACATTTCTCTAAACCCAGATACGGACTGGAAGCTGCTTGCCTGTGACTGTTGTGTTATTAGGGGCACAGGTCTTAAGGAGCTGCAGAACTTGAAAAGGAAGGATGCTGTCAGCCTGGCTCCCAGCCCTGCATGTGCTGGGCTCTGTGCAGGGTCCAATACAGCTAACACCAGGCAGCTCTCTCACCAGTAGAGACTGGGCAGTGTTGGTTTTGGGTATTGGTACTGCAGCATGAGGTTGCCATGCTGTTGGCAGCCTCACTCCTGAGCCTAGTTCGACACCATCTCTTCGCTGGCAGTGGAGCTCTTTGAGTTGTGTGCTCTTTTGTTTATAATTCACATCTAAAAGCTTGTGACAACAGAATGAAGGATCATTCCCTTAGGATTCAGATGTTCTTAAGAGTGAATTTAAGCCAGCCCTTCTGAGAGAAAGAAAAGTTAGTCCTGTTAAGGACGCTGCTAAAAAACTGTAGGGTTGCTTTGGGAGAAACTTCACAGGTTCTTTGTGCCCTGGGCAGCTGGCACATTGGGAGCTGTATGATATGCTTAGCAGCTCATGTGGGTGTAAATGGCAGTCCTCCATGGAAGACAGGGCAGGAGATATGGGGCTTTGAGGAGGGGCCCTTTGTCAGTGCTTAATTATTGTCAGGACAGTTTGTGCCTGCTGAATGCTGACCAGTCTGTTTTCACAGGAGACACCCTCCTTGCTATTCGAGCCCCATCAGGCACCCGTTTGGAGGTTCCCATCCCTGAGGTGAGTGATAACTGGGCAGAGTGCAGGAGTGTGTGTGTGTGTTTGTGTGTCAGAGTGGCAGCTGTGGCTGGATTGACCAAGCTGGGAATTGGAAGTAAGGGGTTTGATGGGAGTCGGAGGAACTGCCAACCCAAGGAAGGCTCCAGATACTAAATAATTGCCAGAAAGCTCTGTTGTTTAGAAGTATGTAATTGGAGGAGCACCAGGGGAGAGGATAGTCCTGGGAGTCAGTGGAATTGTGTGTGGAACCATGCTGAACTGTCTGGCTAGCATGTCTTGCCTCTGGGAAATTCCTGTTCTGTTTGAAAAGGGCATTTAATATATGATTGTGTTTTGCTTTTGACTTTTCTCAGGGCCTAAATGGACAGAAGAAGTATCAGATCCATCTGAAGAGCACAAGTGGTCCCATTGATGTTCTCTTAGTAAACAAAGATGCTTGGAGCTCTCCTCCTGTCGTACTACCTGTCCCTCCCCCTGAAGACCTCATTCAGTGCCAGGCAGTTGCACCCTCAAAACCGCCGATACCACCGCTCACACACTTCCAGGAGGCATCCGTTCCCAGCAGCACCCAGCCCTCTACACCGACACCTACCAGCACTCAGGACCATAGCCCTCCCGCGCAGAAAGTCACAAGCACAGGTGAGAGGGAGGCTACGGGAGGCAGAAACAGGATGGTGGCTGGCAAAGGAGAGTATGTTCCCTGGCCTGGCTGGGGCTGGCCCTGCTGGTCATGCAGCATCGTCAGCTCCTGGCAAGGGAGGCACCCCTGCCTTTGCTGCAGCGAGCCTTTTCTTATGTCTTGATTAGTGGGACTGGCTGTGTTAACAGAAATGAGACACTTGGCTTGTGGGGGTAGTGGCAGCCTGTAGGAGCAGTGGTGAGGGAGAGACTAATCACACAGATTCATTGATTAGCAGAAGTTTGTAAAAGGGTCTTTTCAAGTTCAACTTTCAATTTGAAAAAAGACTGTCAAAAATTCTAGATTAGGTTGCTTGTGGCTTTGTCCAGCTAAATTTTGAAAGCCTCCAGCAGTGGAGATCCCCAGCTTCCTTGGTGAGCTCTTCCAGGGCTGCAGCACCCTCTTAGTGAATTCCTTTTTCCTGATGTCTGGATCCTTTGAGCTGCATCTCGTGCCTGTTCTGCACGTTACATCCTTTGGCACCACTGAGAAGTTCTTAATTTTTGTAACTGCCTTTCAGGTAGCTGCAAGCTGCTGTTAGGTTGCCCTTAGACTTTGCCATACTGAAGAAGCCCAGCTCCCTCCACCCCTCCTTGTAGGCCATGTGCCCTAGCCCCCTGGCCATCTTGGTAGCCCTCAGCTGGTTCTTTTCCACATCTTTCTTGAACTGGAGGATGGCCAAGCTGGACACTGTACCCTAAGTGCCGCCTCAGCCCCACACTTCCCTCAGTGTGCTAGCCATGCTTCTCCTGGTGTTACTTACTACCCGGTGTGTGTTAATTGCTGTGAGAGTGTGCTCTTGGCTTATGTGCAGCCTGGCACCACCAAGACTGCTCTCCAGCAGAACTGCAGCTGGACCTGGGAGTTTTTGCTGGGTGAAAGCAAGAAGCCGCCTTCCTGTGCAGCTGTTTGTGCTTGGCCAGCATTGCCAGTGAGGGTTTGGTCTGTGCTGCAGCTGCTTGCTTTGGGGCTGGTGGGAGATTACATTCTTGTGTGTGTCTGTGACTCTTTCCAGAATGCGGTGTCGCAGCGGCAGAGTCCAAGAGCAGTGGCAACTTTGACCCCCTCGGCAATGCGTCCGCATCGGCCAGCCAGCCAGCCGGGTTAGATACACAGCCACTGCAGTCCTCTGCCTCGCTGGACAGCAGCTCCGTCCTACCCAGCCCCTCTACCTCCTTTGAGCCGATCAAGCCCGACCCCACAGGAAGTGAGTATGCACCCTCGTTTCATGCATTGCTCCAAAAGCATGCAGCTTGGAGCGAGGGAAAGGCTGCTAGGCCTGGAGGAAGGAGCTGAACTCTGTTCTGCCTTTGCTGTCAGCCAGACTCTGCAAGGGATGAGTAGGCATTTCCCCGTGAGGGTGCTGGGGAACCTGGTGAGAAGGTGACTCTGTCATGTCTAGGGTCCTGCCACTTTCTGTGATGTCAATACTAGAAAATCTGTGAGGGACACTCGCATGACACGCGTCTTTGCTCTTACATGTAGGATTATTCCCTTGCAGTCCCTTCTGTAGTGCAAGGTCCAATTTTGAGACTGCATGAAGCTATAGAATTTCCAGCCATCACTGAGAGCACCTTTGTAGCTCATGGGGAGTTTTCCTGTATTAGGAGAGCTCTTGTCTCTGTTTTCCTCCTTTGCTTAGGAATACTTCATCTATTTTTAGTCATCTTGTGGTCTTAATGATCTCGCAGTGTATATTTGGGGAGCTCCTTGATGTGCTTGGTGAGGTGAAATGGGCTTTAAAAAAGGGACATTTGAGCTTTATGCCAGGAAATGGCAGGCTGGCCCAAGGAGAGAAAAGTACCCTCTAGGTAAGACACACTGCTTTAATGTTTTGAAGCGTACCTTCACTGCAGAAACACTCTAGGCTAGAGGGTTATGGTTAGAAGAGGAAATCTTCCTCAAATGTACCTCACACAGTGCTTTTGTCATACTTCTGCTAGCGTGTCTGAGAGAAGTGTGAACTGTCTGTCTTCATCTTGGAGTAGTCTTGATTGTGGAATTAGGCCTGTGATATGTGTATAGCTTACCATTTCCCAGTGGGCCTGTGCTAACTCTCTAAAGGCACGCCCTCATCCTATACAAGATAAATCGAGGTGGTATATGGAAGCTGACACCGTATGAGGCTTACATACAGGGAATTATTCTAGAGCTGCTGACTGTGATAACGTGTTCATGTCTCAGGGCTCCTACAGATTTATTTTAAAGTAGTCGATCTTAAGTATTCTATTGCTTATCATTTCAGCAGAAGTATGTGACATGGGGTCTGGGAGCACAATTTCTGAATGGCATAGGATGATTTGGGTGCATAAGGAGTACAGTAGGACAGTAGGTGATTGTGCTGTAAAGCATTTCAGACTCTTCGTGTAACGATGCAAACCATTTGGTTTGTTGTATTTGCAGTACTGGAACTTCCCAAAGAGCTGTCAGAGATGTTTGATCCAACGAGAGGTACGTTCACTCCCTGACCATGGCTTTGTTCTGTGCCCATCTACCCACAGAAGTGGGACAGCTCGTTTTATTCACTCCTTTTTGGGTTATTTTGGGGTTGTGGTTTTGTATGGTGCTTGTGGTTGTTGGTGGCCACTGGCTCTCTCTACTTGTAGTTAGGCACTCTTAAAATTACTGGTTTCTGTATGTATTCTTCAGTCTTCATGTTGCCAGCAACCTCTGTTAGAGTTTGCCCTACAGTGTGCGGATGAGGGCTTTCCTGTCCCCGTGCCAAAGCTAATCTGTGCTCTGGCTTCCCATGCTCCTTCTCCAACTTGTCTGCACCCTGTGAAAGAAAAATCCCTGTTAGTCTTGTTTCAGCTGTAGCCTGCCTGAGGCTAATCCAAGCAAATAATCTAGGGAGAGTCTTCTCTCTTCAAAATATCCCTCTGTGGTTTTGGTGGTGCTAGTAATTTTGGAGCAGTAGGGGAGGGGATGCTGTTAACTTGTGTTAGGTGTTCTGCCTCTGCCCAAGGAATGTCTGGGTGTCACTGCCTAATGGTGGGACGGACTCTGGGCTAAGGGCAGGAGAGGTGAAGGAATTTGATCTAACATAAGCCTAAACTGGGAAACTCTTCTTATCTGCACATTCGTTTCCCTTCAGTGCTGTCAGAATACTTTCTAGCCCCACAGCTAGGCAGAGCTGAGTACACACAAGCACTTCTGTGGTGACAGGATATGTACAACAACAGTCCCTAGTTCTGTGTTCTAGCAGGTGCTTTGTGAAAGTGCTGCCTTGGCGTAAAAACCCCACAGTCCCAAATGTGCACGCGTGAGCCTCCAATCTGTGTGCTAGGAGCCCTGGCCTCCACAGTTGGCCTGGAGTGCACCTTTCCTCCTTGCCCAGTGCCCACTGCTGGACATGGTGGATGAGGTCTTGGTAATGACTGAGTACATCTGCAGAACAAATGTGACTTTGCAATGTGAGACATAAACTGCTGCAAGGCCCCAGCCCGTGCAGATCTAGCTTAACTCTAACTAACTGTACTGTGTGACTATGTGGACACTATTAAAAAGGAGGTGTTTGCCGTCTATGGTAAGGTATGTTGTTTTATGGAGTATTCTTCCCAATTTGGAGGGGGAAGATGGCGATGCAGGAGTGAAGGACAAAACAGAGTCGACAGCTACAGAGGCAAAACTCGGGACTGGAAAAAAGGAACACTACAGAGCTCAGAGAAATGGGACTTGCAGCATGCTCCATGCAGCCTCTTTCATCTGTGTGTGATCCCAGTAATGTTGCCCTGGCACTGGTGGCTGCTTTCAGGCTATGCAGTTTCAGCTGCAAGAGCCTGCAGTTCTTCCTTAGTGTTTTGTATTGGAATTACTTTTTCTGCGTGGAGAGAACTCTCTTTTAAATGGGTACTTAATAACTGCTTGTTTTACTCGTATCCTGGAAGAAACCTGGATTTCAACACACACATATACACACCCTGCTATATTACCAGCCCTGATCTAAGAATGAAGGTTCTGCATTTAATTGCTATTTATTGAAGCTGGTATTAGTCCTGTCTAGTTGCTCAGTGTTGGAATTCTCTCATCTCATGGCACTGAATTAGACAGGTAGGTTCCTGTCCGCTGGGAAATAGCCTGCTGTGGATAAGTGTCTTGAAAATGGGCTCATCTGAGTTTCTTTGGGAAAGCTTTTTTCAAGTGTGGGTAGTATCTCATCAGCCCAGTTAGATTGAGTTAGATATTCACTATCTTAACTTGGTAAAGTGAGAGAGGTATTCAGAAAGTTGTTTTCAAATGCTTAGTTTCTTCAAGAAAAGAGATTGACTTGCACATGCTTTGTTTGGCTGCTTGTCTACCGTTCAAGTGCCTTGTGAACCTACTAGCCAAGAGTAACAACACTGGAGGAAGGAATGACATTTCAGAGATAATTTTTTTACAGTTTTTTGTGGGCAGTAGAGGGGAGAGCAGAGTTAATGGCCCATTAAGGAAGGATGTGCAGAGCTCAGATGCTCATTCCGTTTGGCAGCAGGCAGCCAGTGAATCTGCCAGGGCCTACGGCTGGATTAGCCACAGCGCAGCTGTGGGGCACGGGGAGCAAATTAAGGGGGCAAAGGACACAAATCTGGAGGAAGCTGGAGGCTCGTTAGTTCTACTGCTTCTGGAACAGCTCATTTGGTTTTTATTTTTTTCCCCCACTGTTAGCAAAGTTGGTGGGTAGTTGACAACTGTGAATATGTCAGGCTTTACCAGCTCAATTTCAGATGCACGTTGAGGAGTTTCCTCTGGAGGAGTTTGGGGCACCAGCTAGCATGCCAGCGCAGGGGTAAGGCACAGCCTGTCATATGAAGGAGACTGGCGTGCAGTTGAGCTAAAGCAAGCAGAAACCTCCTGCAGAATTTTTTTGATGTAGCTTTAATTGTCTGACACAGATTTCCTTTGCCTGTGGCAGGAGGGCCAAGCCTCCTTTTGCCACTGCCTGCTGCACACACTGTGCCTTAGCCAGAGGAGGGATAACAAGGGCGAGGACCACCCTGGGAAGGGTGGGGAACTACACAGGAGCAGACCAGGAAAGCAGAGTGTGTTGCTTAACCATGCTTCTCTCTTTCCCAGAATGTATGAACTCCGAGCTGCTGGAAGAGCTGATGTCATCTGAAGGTGAGTCTTTGAGTCTCCCCCTCATGATGTGGCCTCTCCAGGGAAGGAAGGCCACATTGTGTGACTTTACCCAGCTGACAGTCTTGCGACTACAGACTCACCCTCATCTCTTCTGGGCTCTGGACACAGACTCTGTTCTCACTGTCCTGCCAGTCCCTGAGAGAGGTGTGAGGACCAGAAGAGCCTGTCTCTTCCATATCGCAAGGCTGACTTGAAGCAAGCTCAAAGACTGTTACTGTGAGGTGGCCTCCTCATGGCTCCGCAGCTCAGCGCCCGTTGGCAGCTCTTGGCTCAGTGTGGGAGCACTGAGTTTAGTAACCAACCATGGGCTTCTCTTTCCCCAGTGTTTGCTCCATTGCTCCGCCTCTCCCCTCCACCTGGAGATCATGACTACATCTATAACCTGGATGAGAGTGAAGGCGTCTGTGACCTCTTTGACGTGCCTGTCCTCAACCTCTGACTTCTCAGTGCGGCTGTGAGCCTTGCAAACACAGACCGTTTTGTAACTCTTTGGAAAGTGTCTATTTTTGGATTCCTTTTGTGCTAGAGCTCGATGAGTGAGCGATTCAGAGATGCTCTCGTATGGACTCAGAACCAAGAGATGTGGACTTGCAGGCCGGGAGCCTCCCTGTAGCTGCTTCCTCTTCCTCTGTTGCACGTGCAAGGTGCATGTGCAACTTGCTCCGCCGTATCTCTCTCTCCACTGGATCCTGGGCCTCACTTCAAAGGGTCTGTGTTTTGAGTGTTCCCAGTTCACCTGTAGAGTTTGCCCATGTGCCTCTCCGAGCTTCCTCAAATCTGCATGCCTTGGTTTTTCCTGCACTCCTAGAGGCACTTTGCACCTCCTAGGTACCAGCTGCTACAAGGAGCCCTAATATCGTGGTCAGTTCACAAGCCCGGAGGTAGTTAGCTAGATTTCTCAATGTGAGCAGTTCAGATTGGGGTGGTTATATTTCTGAATGACAACGACAGGGGAAGAGGGTGGAAAGGTACCAAAGTGTCCATTTCTTCCAGTGACTCAAGACCAAGCTAGTATGTTTTGCAAGAAAAAGCACTTTTTTTAGCCAGCTGTGCCTCCTAGTGGGACTCAGGAGTTGAGCATTCCTAGTAGGACCCAGGAGCTGAGTCTTTCCCTGCTTGTGCATCAGCAGGAATGCTGGTTGTGTGTTCAGCAGTCTGCTGATGCATGAGCCCAGGGGCTCTGGCTCTTTGTACAGCAGCTGTGCTGTTTCTACAGGGCTAAAGAAGAGGTGCCAGTATGTTGGGTTTTTTTATTTTATTTTTTTATTTGTTTTTGCCTGAGTGAAGAGATGTTTGAAAGGGTAAGACTGCTCAAGCTGGTGCCTGTAAGGTACTCCAGGTACATCAGAGCCTGCTCATATTTGCAAATAGCTGTCTTCTCCAACCATTGCACTTGAGCTTTCAACTGTCTAAAAGGCGACCAAGCAGTAACAATTCAGTAGTACTGTGCTGTGACAAGTTATGTAGGTGTTGTCAAAATAGTGCTTACCCCCCCCCCCTTTTTTTTGTCTCAGCATCTGCTCAGGATCAGGCTTTCTGTATATTTGAATTTGCTCCTCTAGTATCCATACCCACACTCCCAATTCCTGATCCTGTGGCAGGTTGCTACCCAGTGTGATGCTTTCTCTGCATCATTTTTCTGCAAGATTTTCTTCATTGCTTTTTTCGTACCTTCTTCCATTGTAATGGAAAGTCTGCTGTTGGGTTTGTTACGATGATCAGGTGGTACCAGTCTTGGATCCTTGTGCAGTTTAGTTGGAGTAAAATGCCCTGATGGATCTGTGTTGTATTTTGCAAGCCCCGACTTTGGTTTTCGGTCAGATCCTGTATTGGAGTGTCTTCAGTTTTGCACGTCTTCCTGCTGATGTGGTAGTAGCAGCTGTCCTGCCTTTCCTGCTCTGCAAACTACCGAAGAGAGCGCCAGGCCAGGAGTGTGGCTGGCCATTGCAGACAGGTAGCTTGCAGCCAGCCATGTAACCAGTTGATGTTTAACTTCTCCGCTTAGCTGCTCACCGCCTGTGAACCACACAGCCAGCTGGAGCACCAGGAATATGGGATGTAAAGTCTTCAATTGTTGGAGCCCGCAGAAGTGAGGAGAGTATATGCTTGGGATGTGGATCCCTGAGGTGGCTCCTTGGGCCATCCTGTTCTGTGTGGGACTCCTCGAGAAGAGCCATCCCTCTCTGCAGCCCTGAAGCACCGGCGTCCTCTTTGGGAAAAGCCTGAAGAATTCAGGAGGAACAACGGGACGGTCTCCAGTGTGGCAGCGGGCAGCTGCTGCCGGCGAGACAGCGGTGCCGTGGGACCCTGCAGGGGGGTGAACTTCCAGCCCGCATGCAGCTAGTCCACGAACCTTCCCTCCTCAGCAAGGAAGCTGACCGACATCCCTCGGTCCTGCGCGCGCGTTAGGCTCCGTGGCTTTGGTGTAGCTCGAGCTCTCCGTGTACTGCCTGGCCCTCGCCCTCCTCCCGAGTGTTCATGTTTGCCACCACCAGTTAGACGACCTTTGGAAAAGGACACCTAGAGAAAAATTTACAGTCGCGAATGAACTTTTGATTCATATATAAAGATTATTTTTATACTTTTTTTGCAAGGAAAGAAAAAAATTGCCTGTAATATTTGTATAGTGTTCTCTGACGTGAATAAACAAAAAACTTTCCAGAGTTGCCCACCTCGCCCCTGGGCCGAGCCCGGACGGAGGGGGTGCCCCCAAAAGCGGGGTGCCGGCCGTCCCCCTCGGGGCCGGGCCCTTTCCCGGCGGGAGGTGGGTCCCGCCGAACCCGCGTCAGCTCAGGTGAGGGGGCTGGGCCTGCTCGGGGCTGCGTCCGGCACCGCCATCGAGGCCGGCGG